ATTTTCTAAACTCCTGTCATTGAATCACCTGTGTTACTGGTGATAGTTACACCTTCAGGTCTACAAAAGCAACATATGACATTAAGATAACGTGGAGTCTGTTCTTCTGTCCAGTGCAGCTGGATCCAGATTACAGACTTCTTGAAATGGGTGACAGTACTGAAACCAAAGAATAAAGCATGGGTCTGAGTCACGGATCTGAACAACCATGACTATTGTGTGGACATGTAGCTGGACATCCAAGTAGAAGTACTGGAAATGCTTCTTCCACTCTTCTTGTTGGAAGCTAACTCAATGTGGGGTCCCCAAGCTGGAAGCAGGACACTGGTCACAGGGACTTTTTTAACCTACTTGTAGAAATCAGGAAGTCTTTTGTCCACTACTTATACTTTAAAAACAGTATTGATACAGAAAATGGGTGACAAAAATGCACACTTAAACTTCAGACCATCTGTACTCGGGAACTGCAAAACCCAGAACTTGGAAACGTAAATGATGGAAATCCAATTTAAGCGACTCTTGTATTTTAGGTGAGAGGTGCAGAAAAGCAGACATTTGGGCAGGTCAGAGAAGGGTTACCTATTGCCGGGGCTGCAGAAAAACACTGTTAGTTCTAGGATGGGAATGGCCTGATTAAATATACGGAAGCTGCAACAAGACTGACGGGAAAGAGATCTCCCATAGCCTTGCAGGTAACCCCAAGCAACCCAAGGCAAAGATGAGTTACATAAGATGATATTGTGCACTGTGTTGTCCTTTTACTTCCACCTTTTGTGAGCTCTCCTTCCATACAGTGAAGCAGTTGGAGGAACAGAGCTGGAATCTGCTACTGCCCTCAGCAGTGCTAGCCCTGTTCCTGCTGGGCAGGTTACCAGGAGCCCATTATTCTGAGGTATCTCATAATTAAGCCACAGTTCTATTTCAAATGCCTGATGAAGATTTCTTCCATATTAGGATTCCCCCCAGAATAGCTGCTACCAATAGGGCTTCCTCTTCATGCAAAAGTTTTGGGACTACTAAACGTTTTGGAGGCTAAACTTCAAATCACGAACTCTTTTCTAAGTTTCTTGAAATAATCCCTTATGTAAGTAATTTCAAATCAGCAACTGAACACTAGCGGTAGACCAAAGAGACAACTAACAGATAACGATAACAGATATAACAACCCAGCAACCCATGTTGTACCTGCAATGTTTGACACCCGGAAAGCTTCCTGGTTCTTTGGTGGTTTTGATCGATTCTGGCTTCTTTGCTTTCCTCCCGTGGAGCGAATACTGCGGAGATGGACCTCGGTGGCTTTGAAGAAGGCTACCGTGAATGGCTGCTTGTTCTGCGGGCCATGCCTTCCAATAAGACCTGCCAGTTTGGGATTGATGCTTTGCCCTTAATAACAGAATGGAGTGATAAGAGACCCTGCAGTAACTAACTTTTCCTCTGAGCAGACATAGTAAAGGTAGCAAGGAGGAGAACTGCTGTCTGGTTGGTAAAGGTGATTCCTAAACGTGTCAATCCACAAAGGGCCTGGACTTGATCGGCAAAGCTGCTTCTGACAAGAGCAGCTGAGCACAGCTAACTTCATTTTATACCTGCATGTAAAAGTTACATAAAATAGTCCTCCATATAATTATTTTACCCTAAATCCGCTTAGCATTAACTTTTTCTGCATTCTTTAGAGGGGTTTCTTTAAGTTCACCAACCTATAATTTGAAGTGATCCTATAAAAGGAGCCATAAACTCAGCTCATGGGAACACTAAATTCCCACTGGAAGCTTATTAACTTAAAATAAAAATGCCTCATATGAAATGTTGACAGAGTTCCAGATACACTGTAGCTGAGAGAAACAAATACTTCAGATGTTTAGAGACATTTTGCTTATTGCTGTATCTTAGCACCACTGTACCTGATAATTGTGTTGCAAAGCTGTTGATTAACTATTCACACTTCCATCATCCTGGACTTTTAAAGTAATCTGATTTTTGGTAGAAGATGATTAGGTGGTTTATCTGCAGAATTAAATCAATTATTTACAAAAACTGCAAGGAGGGGGGATGGCAGTGGGAAAGGTAATATTTCTCTCTGTTGCCTGCAAAGGATGCCTGGGTGCTGTCGTGAAATGCAGGGGTGATATCCAGGATTACCCTGTTCCAAGCTACTGAGTACTGCTGCTAAGTCAAAGTTATGTTAATGGCTTTTGTGATTGTTTTGCTGAGGACAGAGCTGGGCCTTGTCAGCCATAAATCAAATATGCCGAAAGAGAGCTGGCTCTTTCCTAGAGAAGCCCTGAAAGGCAGCCTGGCCAGGGAAAGTAGGTGAGGGGCTTTACAGACTCCTGATAAAGTCCTTATTTTACTAATTTCTCACTACTACGTGAAAAGAAGCTGGCAACCTGCAATATTTCTAGGTAATATTCTGTAACTGCTGGTTTTTTACAGAGTAAGGTAAATGCCAAGGCTTATTTATAAATTAGTGCCTTCATGGGATTGTTTCCATCTTTGCTCTTGTATGTGGTCAAAAGATTGGTAAGCGAGACAGACCCAGAAAAAGGGGAATGTGGTCAAAGCTCAAGAAATGGACTGGCCTTGGCTGCAGTCCTTTCTACAAGTGTGCAGCCCAGCGAGCAAGTCCCAGGCTGCAGTATATGGGATGTATCTCAAGAGGTGTTTTAATGGGAGCTTGGCAGCAGGAAAACTGCCCAGCATGGCCAGGCCCTGCAAACTAGATAAAGCAAAACTAATCTCAGGATGGGGCACCAATTAAGCTTGGGCAAAAATAGCACATGTTAAAACGCATGTATTTATATGTAGACACATATCAACAACTTCACCTTCTGCTTAAGCTGCTTTCTGGAAGCTTGTCCAAACAGTTTTCATTTTAAATCTTGAAGGTGGAGCCCACAAAATACTTAAGCAAGTAGCTGATGCTAAATACATAAGCAGTTCCACTTGTGCTCAGGCTTTGCCAGATCGAAGCCTTATTTCCTGGAAACAAGCTCAGCTGCAGGAGTTATTGCTCACTGAGTGCTGCTCCTCGGGCTTTTCTTGCCCCTTCAAAGAAGCCTTTATGCTTCCCAAAGTTGTTTAAACTAGCAAGTACACCTATGGCTGTGTTTTTTCTAGTGTAAATGATTTTACCTTTACCATGCTTCTAGGGAGTAGGTCAGCAGTATGGAGTGAGGGGACCTGACTTCACACCGGTATGTTTAATGGACTTGCATTAGCGCAGTGATAAGTAGCATTTGACCAATTAATCTCTTGTGCAGCATCAACATGTCATGTTCAAGACCAGTATGGTGGCACTGTAACACTCTGTATGCAAAGTAGCATATTTCTTTTTAATAAAGATGGGAAAGATCCACTGTAGCTTTCCTATAGCAAGGTTAAACACAAGGACGTGTAGTCACCATGAGACAATGATAAACTTCTCCCAAAAGAACTAAAGCTGTGCTCTTAAACCAGAGGGCACAGTTTTATCTGCTTTTATGAAGCTGCTTTTTTAATACTGTCAAACATAAGATCTTAAGTAACAAACTAAGTGAACCTAAGCGAGCCGGGGCTGTTCCTGGGTGCTGGGCTCAGAGCTCACTGAAGGTGACTGACCTTTTGCTTCCTGCTTGCGCTGATCCCCATTTTTTCAGAGTAAACAAATATCCTTTGATTCCACCCTAGTTATGCTTGTTGATAGACTTAGTTAGCAAGATTATAAAGAAATACTATGATCAGTTAATTTCTTTTGTACAATTTCATCTGGAGAGTGCTCACAATGTCAGAATTTTTCTTAAATAGACTGTACTGGCTTTGTGATTACAGATTTCTGTATGTAATGACAGATACAAAGAAAAGTTGGGGTGGTTTTTTTATCTAATTTACTTAAAGCTCTGGGGATTGCCCAAGCGTATACTGTTGCATCAAAATCCTGCTGTGTCTGCAACATATGATTTTCACATGCAGTCCAGGTGTAAAAGCAGATCTCTTGTAAGACACACAGTTGGTCTAAATCCAAAAGGAAACTTGGGGAGCAAGGAAGGACACGTCTTTGCCATTCAAAAATAGAAAGAAAATTTCACGTGTATGGTGGAGAAACGTGAGTGCAAAGTTGTGCTGCCAAGGGACTTGGTTACAGAAGACAAGCACACAACTGGGTCTTGTATCTCTCTATTTACCTTTTAAACACTGCGGCTGGCTTTTCTAACTTTAATGGCAGGCTGATTAAAGTATTTTGTTAACCTGTTTTGAGAAAGCAACAAGTTACTTTTCAAAGGGTTCAAATCGCATACAAGCTCAGCTAGATTTCTCAGGAGTGAAGTAAAAATAATCAGATTCCTAATTTTTATTGAGTCAAATAACAGATGAGACTGAACCTGGGAGTTTCTGTCTTTGGAAGCTTTCTCTGTGATAGATCTGGCTTTTATGGGTCCACTTCTAGTTGCTCCAGGAGAGCAGCCAGAGTTATTGGAAGCGTATGCAAAGTTGCAGCATTTCCTTGGATGCAGGATCCTGAAAACTCTCTATAGAAATCTGTAACAGATTCATAAATCAGCTGCCTTCCTCCTTAATGCTGAAAAATGGGACTGACTTTAGCTGTAAAATCATTAGGTGAGGATGGGGGAGGACAGAGTGCTAAGAAAACTTTATCAGTAGAGAAGTGTGAGTGTGATACTGTAGTGTTTCCATGGTGTTTAGAGATATTAAGCCTACTTACAGCTATCATGTGGGCTCTACACTTGGGTCTTGATGGCTTCGCTATACGTGAACCACAACTGAGCAAATGTGCCATGATCATGGACACAATTTCTGTACTTCTGAGTATTTCATTTAGGAGGCAAAATGGAAACTAAAAATAAGGACAAGTGTTTGAAAATGGGTTAAGCTTGTCTTGGCTGTTAACCTGCCTTACTTTGTAAGAGTTAATCTTTACTTGTAAATCAGGTTGAATTTGAATCTTTATACAAAGATGGCAAAAGGCATCTGTCATTGGGGTGGGGACTAGTAACTTCCATGGTGAAGCTCCTGCTTTGTGTCTCTGTTTGGGTTTCTGCATTCACTAATCACTCAGAAAGGACAGGTTAAAACAAACCCTGTGCACTTCTTGGTGTGCAGTTCTCACATAAGTAAAATCACCCTTTTGTGTAAATTGACTCTGTAGGTTGCCTGTTTCAAAACTGCTCTGCACAGTCCTTACGCAAAATACCACCTGCGTACAGAGTGTCGCGTAAAACCCAACAGCATTGATGTATATCTGGAGAATAAAAATATGTCCTTAGATAGGGACTGTAGTGACAGGACAAGGGGTAATGGGTTTAAACTTAAACAGGGGAAATTTAGATTAGATATAAGGAAGAAGTTCTTTACAGTGAGGGTGGTGAGGCACTGGAATGGGTTGCCCAAGGAAGTTGTGAATGCTCCAACCCTGGCGGTGTTCAAGGCCAGGCTGGACAGAGCCTTGGGCGACATAGTTTAATGTGTGGTGTCCCTGCTCATGGCAGGGGTGTTGGAACTAGATGATCTTAAGGTCCTTTCCAACCCTAACTATTCTATGATTCTATGATAACTACGTCTGGAGTATATGTAATAGTTTTGAACTGGGTTTTGCTTAACCTCTCTTGTGGGGCAGCCAGGCAGTTTCAGGTGGTCTCAGGTCCTGCGAAACCCCAGAAGATCCAGGCTAACCTGGTTTCCTCGTACAAGTCTCCAAGTGAGCATTTTAACTTTAAGACAAACATGACTCTTTAGTTAAGACGTGGTTAGCAGAATTCTCTGCCTGATTCTAAACACATCCTTCCTGGAGATGTTTCAGAGCCAGACCTTCCCACCCATTCCCACACCTGAGTATGGTTTGTACCATAAGCACTCTGCAGACCTTGGAGTCCAGACCAGACATGACTTTACTAGTACTTTCTACTACAAAGGAAATTAAAATGGTTCCTAGCTGTTTTCTGAATTTAAAAGGACTTTTGTGCCAATTAACACCAGTCTTTTACATGTTGGTTGTCTTTCTGCACGTACCAAAACTTATTCCTCTCTCCTCCACTGGACTGCACTATCTGCAAGTTAGTAGCATATGTTTACCTTGACAAGGATGTGTGCACAGCTAATACTGAAATGACTCCAGGAAGGTTACCAGTCTGTTACGGCACTTGAGTACATCCTTCATCTGAAATACGTTCATGCATTGTTTCATTATAATTACTATCTCCACCTTAAGCAAGTTCAGGAAACACATGTTCAATAAATTCTATTCAAAGGAAAGAATACTGTATGTTTAAGGCTTCCCCTGGCTGGGAATTGTGTACCTGAAAGAGAGACTCACTGATTGATGTTGGTGTCTGACACTCACCATCGATGCCTTCCACGGACAGCTGCAGGCCAAGGTTGTGCTGGGGATTCACCACCCAGTGATTACTGGTTGCAGTAATGTCAAACACCAGCCACCCTTCTTCTGCAGCCCAGATTGTCCGAGAATCAAGCAGGAACAAATCTGAATCCCTGAAAAACAACAACGGAATTCCCAGTTACCCTGGCTTTCCTCTGGAAAGTCTATAGGCATCCACATACATGCATTAAGCCTTTTGGCAATAGGCAGATTCCACCAGAGCTGGGCTGGCACGTTTTCCCACCTAATCACCTTCAGATGAAGCACTTTTCTTCCCTTCAAAAAAGGGAGGATGGGTTGAAGCAGAGTTGAGGTGGTTTTGGGTTACTTTGCTGTTACAGTTAACCTTAGAGCCGCTGATGCAACTTCAGAACAAGTGCTTGCCAGGCACAGCTTCGCAGAATTATAGTCTGCATATGCAAACCTGGTAATTGGGCAGTCAATGCTGCTCATGATCCTTTCCACACATCATTTCCTGACTTTTATGCATAATCGTAGCATTGGTGCAAGCCAGCTGGAACACTGGAGTGCATATATTAGCATATGTAATTTTTTTAAATGTGTTCGTCTGAGGCTACAGAGAATTAATTGAGGCAATAACCCTCTGCACAGTCATAGGTCTGCGTTACTTTGGGTGGCAATTTTCTTTCAATTCATTGCTTAATTTTTTTTAAAGGCCACTGCTGAGTTATTCTGGTTAAAGAACTACTACCAGAAAATAAGAAAGATCCAAAGTGAGAAGATTTCATGCATTTGAAAAGGGTGAAATCATTCTGGATTTACAAAATGCTTCCTGGCAAACTTCTGTAAAATGAAACTTTGAGAAAACACAGGTTCTGCAAAGGAAGGAAACTTCCTTTATCAGAAATTAAGACAGACCTAAAACTTGGATAAAAAAATTGGATACTGGTGCAGTTCCTGTATAAAAATAACTTTAAAAGAAGAACAAAGAAACACGGTGGAAGTGTCTAGACAAGTAAGAGCTGCTTTTGTACTGACAGCGCACAAACATGATAACTTGTTTAAGTGTAATTATATCCTTTTGAATAAAGAACTATCCTCAGAAAACCCTTTAATCATGCCCTCAAAGCTTAAAGAAGGCCTTATTAATTTTGTCACTATTGATTTGTCAGTGAAAATAGATATATTTAACTTAGTTTACACGATGCCTCTTGTTTGCACAAAATACCAAGTGATCAAAAATGAATGTGAGAAGTGCTGTCAGCATAGAGGCTTTTGTCTCGTAGGTTTTAGTGATTCTTTGCCCTGCGAGATACCAAGAAATTAGAGGCTTTTGTCCCACACAGATGACTCAAAATAGAAATGGAGTTTTATTGCAATGCTTTTACTACCTAGCTTCCCTCGCAACCTTAGTGGGCCAGAGCATGTAAGAGATGACATCTTTCCTATGTGAGCTAATAGATGTCACTGCCTCTGGCTTTGCAATGACTTACATGAAATTAAACTTCTGAAATCAGAAGCACATGGTGAGCACATCACCCAGGGGGCATAACAGGAGGAATATGCCGTTTTCTCACCAATGCACCATATCTTCGGATGCCACACAGCTGGATATGTAGATAGAGCAAATGCTGCTGAGAGTGCAGTTAGTGCTGCATGTGGCAGCCTGAGGGAAAGCACTGGCTTCCTGTCAGCTGTTTCACAAAGAGGAGGCAAGGTCTGACGCTCGCAAGAGATGTTTTGCAAGTACAGGATTATAACGATTGTGATTCCTCCCTTCACCCAGCATGTCCCTGCCATGGAGGAAGGCACGGGAGGAATGGGAGTTTTGCTTTCTCTTAAGGAAAGTTTGGGTTTGTGGAAGAAGCCCTACATCAGAATTGAACATGCTGCAACTCTTGTTTATGGGCACTATTTCAGCAGATGTTTGGGCAGCTGAAGTGGGTGGCTCAGGAAGAGGCCGTGGTACAGCAATGGAGAGGCTTAACCCAGCTGCTGTCTGGAGCTCAGTCAGCTTTGCTGGGTGCACCTAGGACAGCTGAGGACGGATAACCCCTTCCTCCACAGAGACATCAGCTACAAGAATATGAGATGCTTTAACTCTAACTGGGGGACAAATTTCCTGGGGTTTCATCCCCACCCAGAAGCAATGGCCCTGCTCCCATAGTGCATGACACAGCCGCCTGGATACCTCCCATCCTTCCCTGTTTACAACACGCTGAACAAAACGCATCCCAGAGGAGCCAGGGATGAGGGAGTAGTACGGATTGGCTGAGTCCAAGTTTCCAGAAGTAAAGAGTTTTTTATATTCGCATACTGCATCATTTAAGCATGGCCCCTGACTGGAACTCATGATTCACACAAGGTTTAGTTCATAGGGACTTGGCTCGCTTGGTTTTTCTCGCTTGTAGTTTGCAGGTTGAACATAATAGTAATAATGATAACTTTTTTTTGGTTTTAGCTGCTGCTCAAATGCAGCATTATTACTCAGAAAAACCAGCCTTTAAGCTTCCCATGCCGACATGATGCAATCAGGATAACCAGACAACATGAGGCATCAAGTACCAGGGTGAGTCAGTCTGGGAAATTGTATAATGTATTTGTTTTCCTCTAGTTACAGCAATGTGCAAACAATAGGCCTGGAGGGGAAGCCCAAAGTGAGAGAGATCAAAGGGACCCACTAAAGGGAAATGTCCTTCCCACACACACTTAGAACATTTGGACCCAAAAAGGCCACATGTCAGATGCTCTCTCGAAGTTCAAGCACTCCTGGATTAGCACTTTCCAGTCTGGCCCACCAGCAGCGGCCAGGAATGGGATGCAGAACCTGACCAGAGCTGCAAGCAGAAGCTCCTGAGATTGTGGTGCCTGTTCCAATGAAAAGAAACCTCCTGTTCTTTTAAAAAGAACAACCTCTCCTTAAGTGAAATGCTCTGCTCTCCAAAGACTTATGGCAAACAATGTTAAATCACTAGCTAATAGACAGCAAGCCCTTTAGACATCATTGTTAGACAAGACAAACATGGCAGAGAAATGTTACTCTGCTTAGACTTCAAATGTGCTCAGAGAGTTTCCAACGAATAACTTGTCATATGGGATAGTGCTAGTTAAGTCTAACTAATGTGGCTGGTTTGGGTTTTAGCTTCGAGATAAAGATCTGAGCACAAAGGGAGGAGGTTTCTAGTGCAAATCTCACTCGCTGGTCCCTTACCTAATAACTGTGTGCATATTTAGAACATGCTTTGAGTGACTCAATAGTGGCTCTGCAACCAGGAGGCAGAAAAGCCCTTTCGTTCCTTGGCCCTGCATTAAAGCCCTTCGTTTGAGAACTTCAGAGCACATGAGAAACTATACTGAACC